GATTTAACCCCTATCATTCCACATTTAAGAGAAACTGAGTGAGTCACTTCTGCCTGCGGGAGTTAGTTTTCTTACTCAGGTGTGTCAGGGGGAGAAATAGATAGGTATCACTCACTTATATGCTGAAGACAACCAAATTTCTCTCCTGTTAGACATTTTTCCTGGGCTCTAAACCCTTATTTCCATCTGCCTCTCTACTGACAAGTTCTTCCTGGATATTTTACTGGCAACCCAATTCAATTTCTCTAAAACCAAAATAGCCCCCTCAAGGCATGCCATTCTATATTCCCTATTAGCAGCAGCTTGCTCACATAAGCTAGAATATGAGCATTGTCTTAAAGCATCTCCCTTTCCTTCAACGCCCCACTCACATTCTCTCAACTCTGCCCTGATCCAACTATCACCTTGATTGGGTTCTAATCTTCTATTGCCTGGGCTACTAAAATAACTTCCTACCTGGTCTCCCTGCCACTGGTTTTGCCCTTCATAACCTGTACTCCATGCTAGAACAATTGCTCTAAAATAGAGAATTTCATTATCTCCCTTTTCAAAAGTTTGGATGGTTCCTGCTACTCAAAGGACAAAAATTTTAACATGGGATGCGTGGCTAGGAAGAAAGGTCCAAAGGAAAGAAATGCCCAAATCCATGGCCCAAGTCCAAAAAAAAAAAAAAAAAAAAACCCTGAAAGAAGTGGTGTAGATCAGAGGGCTTGGTGATGAAAGAAACAAAAGGACCTTTGAAATACAAAGCAGACTGTAACAGATCAAAAAGAACACAACCAGGCTTACCCAACCAGGGCCAGGAGACTAAAAAACTTCAATAAGAAAGCTACAGGGCAACTAGCTACCTTGTGAGCTAGCCAAGAGAAACCCAGTCAAAGGTCAGGGGCCTCTGACAAAGGCCCTAAGGCACCCTCTCTCACAACACCTATGCTTGCACATATAACCCCACACCCTGACCACCCATCACCAACACCACCAGTTCCAGCAGGGCACAAACCCCCTGGAGGCCTGAATAACAAAGCACTTGGCCAGGTAATTCCTTCAAAGGGTCCATAGGAATTCAGACCAAAGTGGCCCAACCGGATTCCACCTCAACTCAAATAATAAAACAGCCTGTTCAGCTGTCTAGGAGAAGATAGGGCCTCCTGTGAGTCAAATGGACAGTGACATCCCCACTCCCAGGGGAGTTACGCAGTTGTCCCCACAATATCACCCCACTGATAACAGGCACATAAACTGCTTTCTTACCCATAGACAGCTTCAAGAAAGCTGTGTGAGCCAAGACCAGTTTCTCTCTGCCACAAAATTTAGGGACCTCAAGCACCAGAACACTAGGCCGGGTGGGGGAACCCAGAGGCTTTTCCCAATCTGCCCCCACCTACCACCCTACACTGTAACTGGTAGCCAGATGGAAATAATCCTATTTTCTGGAACCTACCTTTGGTTACGCTGTTCCTTCTGACTAGAATCCCTTTGCTCAGTCCAGATAAATCCTATCCATCCTCAATGGCCCACTCCAACCACCATCTTCTCTGGAAATCTTTACCCAGCCCTCACTGCATGCTTTCTCCAAGGACTTGCTGCAGCTCTTTCATGATGCTCACCCCATTGTAGATTGAGGAAAGGAACTGCATCTTAGTCATCTCTCCATCTTCCATGCCTCAGACAACATCCAGCCTATCTGAGGTGCTCTGTTCATGTTTGCTGAATCAATCTCTTTTGATACTATCACAGGAAAATGACTATGTTGTTTTGGAAGTTATACTAGGAACTGTTTCATACTAAATGGAATTCCAATCTCAATCCAGCCAGGTCAAGACCTTGGACGGAAACTTTACTCATCTGTTTTCAATCAAGCACAAAGGTGGAAATAGAATGAGAAATGATTCATGGCTCCTGCCTTTACTGGGTGGGCTAGGGCAATTTGTCCATGGACTTCCAGGGGAAAGAGGGGAAGGGATGTCTACTGACCAATTTCCCTTTACGGTACTAAAGTTCATAATATAAAGACTATCCCTGTGTTTCCTGCATGCATTAGAATTTCAAGGGAAATGTTTCAAATTATTCTTAAAATAATTAGCTTTGAGTCTGATGGGCCTCATTGCAAATTAAGCCAAAATAGCCAAAAAAATGTTGAGCAATGTGAGAAAACATTAGAAACTAAACAGATTACACTATCTGCAACTATGTGGTACCACCTGCTCAGAAGGAAGAGATGGAGAAAAGGAAGAACACAGGTGAAGGAGACTAAGGAAAAGTAAAATATTAGAAAGACTGCCTGGGAAAGGCACGTGACAAAAATACATCTCTAGATAGAAACGATGGGGAAAAAGAATTGATGTCTACTAACAGGTTGATGTGGATAGGAGTAATAGAATCACTTAACAGAAGAGATTCAAAATATTTACATTAATAAAGTGATCTCTCATACAACATATATTTTAATCATAAGAAAATTTTGCACCAAGATGTAAAATATGAATTATTTCAATAAGATTCTATGTACCTATAATGTAAACTAGATATAAGAACCATAGATTAATAAGAAATCTATGATGAAACAGAAAGTATGCATAAAGCGTTTCTGAAGCATACCAAAAGTACCATGGTTGTTTTAAAAATCAAACTGTGCAACTGATTGTTGCATTGTGAGCTGAACTGGCCACATTTTTCATGGAACATCATTTTCACTTAAAAGAAATGACGAAAGATAATTATTTAGATTTCTGTATTTGACCTGCATTTTCCCAAAAATGAACAGTGAGCCTGACACTTCAAGGAAAATAGACAGTTATTTGTAACCAATGATAAAATTCGAGCTTTCAAGCAAAAATGTGAATTTTGGAAAACTGCTTCCTGAATCTTAAAATAAATAAGGAGGCTTTTTTTTCTGCTTACTCACATTGGGTTCGGGAAATTAATTTTGTTTAATAAACTGATAGCACTTTGTAAGTTCTGGTTTTCATTCTTACTGGCTTTAATAATTTTCTAAAGGTATAAATTGTAAGACCCATCAAAACAATAGTTTACTCTGTCAACCTAAGAAAATTGCCTAATTTTTTATGACATGTCAGTAATTGTTCAAACATTAACATACAAATAAGAAAAATATATTAGTATTTCATGTCGATTCAATTTTAAGAATCTATAGATAATATATTAATGCACTAAAAGAAATGACTATCAAGTAATGGCTGGAATTCTGATTTCTTTTTGTTAGCTTTTTGAGTAACATAACTTTAACCAAAATACCAAAAATATTTAAAAAAAAAAAGTTAGATCTAACTGTAAAAAAAAAATTCTCCAAAATCTGTTAAATATCTAATAACATCCCCCAAAGACGTCCAATTTTTAAAGAGCTACATGAGAAAATAAAAATTATTACAGAATGAGGAGGTAATTTATAAGATTTCCAAAATGGCAGAGGATTTTAAGAAAAGCCTGCTGAATATTTTGGTTAACTACTCTCAAATCCACTGAGCTGTCACTGTCATTCTACTATAGGCTTCAAGGTCTGTCTTATTTAGCCCAATGAAAAAAAGGTGCATTACAGGAAAATAATATGTTAAAATATTCATACTTCATACTTTAACCTCAAACTTCTATTTTGGGATACATCAGTGCTCCAACAATTTGTCTTCTCAAGCATTATCTGAACTCATGTATCTTACTTGAATCCATAAATTTAATCAAGAAAAAGTCAGGTCGTACACCTAAAACTAATATAATATCATATGTTAACTATTTTAATAAAAATTAATAGAAATAAGATATAAAGATTAATTCAGTGCATATTTTTCTATTTTGAGTACTGAAATAAATTAAAATGTTCAAGAGCCAATAAAGTATTTCATTTTTAAAAAAGTCAGTTATTTTAGGAAATTAAATGGTCTCAATGAGGTTTACTTCTTCCTCCCCCATACCCGCCCCCCCCCGCAATTTATTACAATACTCTATTACCACACAAGACAATGCCCTGATAATAATTCCATCTCAAAAGTCTGCAGATGTTTTCACACTGTACCCATTCCCTTTGTAGCTAACTCAAGAGAAGAAATGACACTGGCTTAAAAGACTACTAGTATCTAAAAAGAAACGATAGAAGATGTACACTGTTACTAAGTAATTTAACGTTAAATACATAATAACCAGGAAAAACTCGGAAAAGTTTTGGAAATAAAATGTTTTAATATCCATAAGAAATGCCTATCTTTTATTCATTAGAATGCTACATTGGCACCTTTTCAACCAAGGGGGGCTGAGAAATTGGGATATTTAATCAAGAAGCCAATTCAAGCAGATTATATAAATCTAATTTGGACCAAAGGCCAAACAATAGGTTAAAAATTTAAACTACAAACTATCTTACATAATTGTTATTTTAATCATTCTTTTATCTCAGAAGTCATCTTAACAGGTAGCAGAAGCTAATTACCCTTTAAAAGCAGACCTAAGCAGATTAAATAATGGAGCATTGTTTTTACAAGACAACTCATCGCCTGAAAATTCCTGAAGTATAGCACAAATGTTCACTGACCCCATTCTAAAAAAGTGACCTAGAACACTAGAATACGGACATTCTTGAACTCAATCACATTTCCTGCTCTTGGTCTCTCCATCATATTTTTACAACCAGTTATTATAGCTGAGCGTGTTTGAATAAAAGTACGATTAAGCACTGAGTTTAAGCTTAAAACTTGATATTAGATGGATAAAGCTGTCATGAATACTCATGAAAGCGAACAGGGCACCTGGGGCCATCGTCCGTAATTTTGCTATGTCCATTTAATGCAGTCGTTAAGTTACTTAAACGTGCATTAACAAAACTCAAGATACAAAGGCCATGCCCGGAAGCAGTTCATTTGACACTTCTGAAATAACATTTCAAATAAAATGCTTTCTGCCGGGCCTGTTTACACAGTTTCCAAATCCCTAAGTAACATTCTGCGTTTCTTCCAGTGTGACCATGGGAAGTGAGGGTGTGTCTCTGTGCTTACCGATGCCCGGAGCCACATAGATGAAGTATAGACAAGATGAGGAGAGGGAGAAGAAGAAGATGAAGGCGAGCAGGGAGCGATTGGAGACCCGCATCATCCGCCTGAGCACAGACATCTTCCTCTTCCCGGCCGGCAGCTCGGGCTGCGCTCTCCGGCCGGACATGCGGGCAACGTCCAGGCCCTAAACTTCCATGAATGTGCTAAGAACCCCGAGACTGCAACGGGGTCCACGCGGGGAGCCTCTGGGGAGAGGGCTCGAGCAGGAAGAAAGAAAGTGGAGGGAGCGGACAAAATGAATGGGAGGCCGGGGAGGGGAGGCGCGGGAGGACGAGAGCGCCGGGGTGGAAACCGGAGAGGAGACGCGGGGCGGGGGCCCGGGGACGCAAGGACCTGCGGAGGCCGAGGACGCACGTTTTATCTGCCCGGCAGAGGCGGGAGGAGGGACTGCAGGTGGTGGGGAGAGGCGCAGGCTGCGCTTCGCGACGCCCCTGCGGAGACGGCAGCAAACTGCAGCACGCCCGGTGTCTCCCGCGGCTCTGGCTGCCGCGTCCGCCGGGGTCCGGGACGCGAAGCCCCCGCGTTCAGGGTCTGGGCCGCCCGCGCTCCGCAGGCCGGGACCACCTTCTCCTCCTCCTCCTCCTCCTCCTCCTCTTCCTCCTCCGGGCGGCGGCGTCCGGTGCCT